AAATCAGGTATAATATCTTCCCACTTAACATCTTCCAGCTTGTTGGCTACTTTAATGGCTATACAATGTAAAGAGTTGCTTGACATGACACACTTATGTACATTCATTTTTCATAATCTCTGTAGTGGTCAATTTGTCCAGGTGGTTCTACACACCTGCTACAATACTCTTTTCTCTTGTATCAGACTTAGCAAAAAAGATTCTTTCATTTAAGCAACCTCATTTTGACCCTAATGACCTGGTAGACAGAACAAATGTCTTTGTTTCCATCTTACAGGTAAGACAAGTGCAATATGCTTTCTTCTGACTAGAGTAACCTGTGAATATCCTCATTGTTGCATTTAACACATTGAATTGAACTCACCTCTTTATATGTTAAGATTTATCCATAGATTATATACTTTTGTGAGCAGGAACAATATGTTTTATTAATTGTTGAATCTGTAGCATATAACATAGCTTGTGGTTTATCATTTGTTAAAAGTTTTTGACCTGAATACAGCCTAGAAAATTTAAATAATATGCTCAAGAGGTAGATCCAGTACAAGAATTTGTCTTTTAGTTTCTAATCTGCTTTCTACTCAGGATATATTTTATGCCACCTATTCTTTACTTTGCCAGTAGATTATCTACCATATAGTTTTCCCAAAAGACTAAAATATAGTTCCATGTTGCTCGTTTAAATAAAACTTATTTTTACTATTTCTGGCTTTCCTGGAAGAATCCAATTTTAATTAACCATTTTTCTGGAATTATTAAATTTTACAAGATAAGCTTTATACTCTTTAATTATAAGATTAGGGATATTAAGAAAAGGATGAAGGGGTAGGAAAATCGGTAAGTCAAGGATATGGTTGGCAAACACTCAAAGGTTAGGAAAGTCAAAAGGATGTCACTTAATTCAATCACAGTTTTATGAATCAAACAGCTTTCAACGTCCCCCTAAATCATTAGATTCCCTTTTTTTTGACTCAAACAAGAATTTGGTTATATGCAAAATATTCTCTATATTGGCCATAGCTATGGTACGGCTGTTTCTTTTTTCATGCTTTTTTAAATACTTATTTTGCCCATTATTTTTCATATTCAAATCCCCTTCATGTTCCATGTTCTTCAGTAAACTTTCCCTGACTCCCAGAGACCACACAGATGCTCTTTCTTTTCATAACACTTAGACATATTAAAGCGATGAATATATGTTAAATAGATTAGATACTAATGTTCTAAATGATCTGCAACCCCACAATAGTACTGGGCACATAGCAAACTATAATTAATACATAATAAATGATGGCATGGTTTAATTCTCCTTTTGTTTCTGAGTTTTCTAATATACCATGATTTTTTTCTAGAATGTGTTCTCTGCTCTGCTACTGTAATCCGTATCATTCTAAATTTTTTATTTCTGTCAAATAATCTTTTATTTAAAAAAATAAATCTACACTGATGAGTTTTCCTGCCTCCTGACCCCCCAAGTTAGTTCTATTACATGACTCCTTAGCATTTCAATTTGATATGTTAAGGTGGTATGTGTGTATGTGTATATGTGTCTATATTTGTGTGTATGTGTACTAAATCAGAGTAAGAGCTTCTTTTATTTCAAGAAAAGAGTAAAGTTATACTTTGGTGTAGAAACTTTTTCATAAAAATACTATTTGTGCAAATGTATTCAAATTTGAATCCTGTAGAAAATGATTCTTTCTTCAGGTAGTGAAGTGACAAAGAAAATACACTTATCCACTTACGTTCAAAAGATCAAGGAAGCTGACACATGACTTTGAGTTTGATGACTTACAGTCTTGTAGGTCTTTTGAATGTTGAAAGAGGCAGCAGAAGGTCAGTTCCAAAAGCCATGATATCTGTCCTGAAAGGTTAAATGGTCAGAAAAAAATGCAATGATACATTTCATGAAGGGTTTATTTGGATGTTTAGATGTTCAAACCCTTTAATGTCTTAAATAAGAAGCTAAAAATAGGCCAGACTATATTCATACGTCAATTCAGTTTCTACAGTTGGATTTGAGAGTATTAGCCCTCTGGGATTCTATG